CTAAAAGAACTAACAGATCTGTCTTGGAGGAAGTGCACCCGAAATGCTCCTTGGAAGTGAGAATGGCCAGACTTTGTCTCACCTATTTTGGTCATGCTGTCAGAAGGGACCATTCATTCCCTGGAGAAGGATGTAATGCTTTGTAGGATGGAGGGTTGATGAAAGAGGGGAAGGTCTTCAAGAGATGGATTGACACGGTGGCTGCGATGATGAGCTCAAGTATAGTAGGGATCATGGAATGTTTTGTTCTGCTGTGCATGGGGTCGCTATGAATTGGAGACAACTTGACGGCACCTAACAACAACAGAGAAAATATAGGATTCAGACTTTGGAAAGTATACAAAATAGGAAAAATACGCCAAGAGGGTAGCATTTGTTCTGAGCCTTATTGAATGCTGGAATATGGGCATCAAGGTTGAGGATGGAGAATGATAATACAGGCTAAAAGGAAGGACCAGCCTTTGCAAATGGAGATAAGCAAAATATGAAAATTCAGAGTCTATTTCAGAATTACAATAATTTAACTAATTCAGCCATTACTTATTGAGTGCCTGTTGTGTGCAAGGAAGGCATGGATGATGTCTCGTTTCCAGTAATGGTGGGCTAGATTATTTGCAACAACTCTTCCACTGAAAACAACTTAAAAACTCGTAAAAATAAATAATCTTAAAATCATCCAAAGAGGTGACATGGCAGTAAGGAATTACCAGAATGAAAATGATAGGAAAATGGAAACCTAGGGACAGAAATGAGTACAATACCCACCTTTTCTTCTGTGAGTATTTGGTGAGTCCAGCAAGTTTGAAATAGGTTTAATAGCCTAACAGGACAAAGAGAGACAGAAGTCAACTTCCAGGACCACTTGGCATACGAGTGTGATCACGAGTGTGATCAAGACTCTCCCTCCAATAAGCTGAGACCACACAGCTCTGTACCTTCATAGTGAATGTGATTTTAGCAGTAGAAAAGACCTCACAAGATATTGTGACTTGAATTGCTGTTTGAATAACCTTGAATTCTCAAGTCTTGAACTTAGTTAAAAGGGACTCTAAACTGGTGGTGATGTCAGAGACCTGCCATAAAGAAGAGCAAATCCTATGTAGAGGAAGGCATTTTCATTCTGTGATTCAAATCATTCTTCAAATAAGTTTTATGAACAATGGCTTAGCACATAGAGATAACTAGACACTGTGACTATAAATAAGAAGAGACGAGAATCATAGATAACATGAAACCCATTGTCATCGAGTAGATTCCAAATCCTGATACTACAGGATGGGGTAAAACTGCCCCATCAGGTTTCTAAGGGTATACATCTTCATGGAAGCAGAATGCCACATCTTTTTACACAGAGCACCTGGGGGGCTTGAACCATTGACCTTTTGGTTAGCAGATGGTGCATTCACCACTGCACCCTAGGGATCCTCATATAACAGAAAGAGGCACTCAAAGATATCAGAGAGATACTGAATTTATCAGACAGATTCTTTAAAGAAAAAAAAAAAAAAAACTATAGCAAGTTTGAAGATAACTTTGTTGTTGTTGTTGTTATGTGCCGTCGAGTCGGCCCCGACTCATAGCGACCCCTCCTTGGGTTTCCGAGGCAGTA